TCTTCAATTAGTTCTTCAATGGGTTGTGTAGTTCTTTTTTATACTTATTTATTTTTTGATTCTATGATTCCATGAAGCAAGCAGCCCTTGTTGCGCGCGCACACACTAGATCTAAAACCACACGTCCATAACACTAAATATGACTATATGCCTTTTATGGCACTTTACTGTCTGCTTCAAATTAGTTTCAAATTGTAATTTACATTGCTAAGATATATATATATAGTTCCAAGGCGTTTGAGATTGGTGTCCAGTGTGGAGGATCCACCGCTGATATGAGTTGATGAGCTGATATGATATGATATGATATGCAAGTATGAACTCTCTGCTTGTTCATTGGAACAGGGAAAGGCGGAACCGGGAACACTTCTCATAACACCCGATGTACTTGCTACATTGTTAGAAGAATGGCATCACTGCAGTCACCCGGATCCAGTACGTATTCAGACCAGATGGTGGATCAGCACCTAGAAAGGACCTCCACAGCCCTGAAAGACAGCGGAGACCAGGACAACTAGATGAGCCCCAGATACAGATCCCCTGTAAAGACCTTGTCTCAGACGACCACCGGGACAAGACCACAGGAACCAGATGAGTCCTCTGCACAATGTGACTTTGCTGCAGCCTGAAATTGAACTGCTGGTTGTCTGGTCAGAGGAGAACTGGCCCCCCGACTGAGCCTGGTTTCTCCCAAGGTTTTTTCTCCATTCTGTCACCGATGGAGTTTTGGTTCCTTGCCGCTGTCGCCTCTGGCTTGCTTAGTTGGGGACACTTCATTTCCAGCGATATCGTTGACTTGATTGCAAATGATTGCACAGAGACTATTTAAACTGAACTGAGCTGGATGATGACATCACTGAATTCAATGATGAACTGCCTTTAACTGAAAAATTAGTGTTTACTATTGTCATTTTGCATTATTGACAAACTATTTTTCTAATTGATGCTGTTCATTTGCTTTGACACAATCTGTATTGTTAAAAGCGCTATATAAATAAAGGTGACTTGACTTGACTTGCTTGTCCTGTTACGGCCACAGAGGCCGTTGTTAACCTCTATGCTCTCTGTTCCAGTTCAGCCTGATCCGCCGTGGTGGTTCCCTGCTCCATCAGCTCCACCCCGGTGGTCATCTGCGCCGCAGTGAGGATCTTCGGTCCCATCTGCTCTGCTGTGGTGGTCGGTCATCTGCGCTGCTGTGGGGATCTTCGGTCCCATCTGCTTTGCTGTGGTGGTCGGTCATCTGCGCTACTGTGGGGATCTTCGGTCCCATCTGCTCTGCTGTGGTGGTCGTCTGCGCCGCCGTAGGTATCTTTGGTCCAATCTGCTCTGCTGTGGTGGTCATCTGCTCCGCCATGGGGATCTTCAGTCCTGTCTGCTCTACCCTGGAGGTCTTCGGCTCCGCCTTGTCTTCCTGCTCCGCCCTGGCACCCTGGTCCGCCGGCTTTGCCTCAGTTCCCAAGTCCTCCTCCAGCACATGTACCTGGCCCTCCATCCCTCCCCGTGTCCCGTCTCCGCTCCACCTCCCTCCTGGACTCATTTCTTTTCTCATTTGGGAGCATCTGCCGCTCCTTAAGGGGGGGGGGGACCCCACCTCTGACTCTTGCCACTCTACCACAGACTACATTTCCCATAATCCTTTGCTGGACTCATCATCTCTGATTGCATTCACCTCTGTCTCATTTTCTCATCAGTTTCACTCTATTTTAAGCCTGGTTCAACACACACACGCACACACACACACACACACACACAGGGGGCTGCACACTGCATTAATCGCTGTGTCTGCATTTGTCCTTAGAGAACAGCTCTCTCTGTGGCTCTTCCTTTCTCATGCACCATCCCCCTCGCACCCCCCACCAAACTCACACGTGCAAACACATGTGCACGGCTATCTACAACACGGGGGGAAAAGCACGGGGAAACCAGGTGGGATATGCCTACCTTATGGTGGCGGCGCACACACACTCTGGCACGCGCAAAGATTGTGACGACAGACTCCGTGCTATTTTTGGAGCAAGTCAATTTACCTGTGACTTCAGCATGTTAATATGGCAGAATACTTTACATACACCAACAGATATTTCAAAAATGCTGAGAAAGGATTGTATTTCTTTATCTCTAATGCATCAGCGTGGAAAAAAGACAAAGGGAGACAGAGAAGAGAATAGAACAGACAGAGTGTCAAATGTCACTGAGATGAATTGGAACTGTCACTGCAGCAATTTAAGGCTTGACCTTGAAGGCATGAGATGATGGGTTGGTCACGTTACCAAGGCAACAATAAGCAACAAGAGAGGATTTAACTGTACCCATTTAACCTTTCATGGAAAATAGATAACAGAGCACACCAGTGACGACCACTTCATATACTGGTCAGATCAGTTTTCCTGCAATTATATATTTGCCATTTATTTTCTTCTTACGTATTACAAAATTTGTTCAGTAAAAGGGTAAAAAAATAAATATTATTAAATATTATGATATTATTGTCTTTATATCATTTACAGCCTGTAGCGTTCCTGTGTTTCCTAGTTCCTTGTTGCCTTGCCTTGTTTTTGCCTTGGACTATTTATCTGTTTTTTCTGATTGTTTGCTGCCTGCCCTGACCTTCGCCTGTGTTTGGATTACTCCTTTGTCTCATCCTGGATTATACCTGTTTACTGTTGATTGACCCTGCCTTTTTTGACCCCTCTTTTAAATAAAGCCTGCACTTGGATGCTCAACCCCGCTGTCACGCCTGCCACGTTACAATATTTGAATAAGATTTAAATGTCATAAAAATAGTTGAATAAGATTTAAATGTCATAAAAGGTAAAGGCAAACAAGGGTTAATATCTTACAGCAATTTTAAAATTACCTTGTTTTAAGAAATCTATATTTTACTGAAAAAAAAGATAAAGACCCTGATTAAAAATAGATTTGATAGATTTTTTAAAATAAAATACACTTCAAGTCTTGTGCATGCATACATTAAAAAACGTTACAATTGCATTTACAATTAACCATTAACTGTGACCCATTCTAACAACATAGGGAGTGAGACTTTCAAAAGACTTGTTCTCAGTTTACTTTATTATTTGCTCTCACAACTGCCATTTCAGTACAGAGGCATTCAAGTCAGGTGAACGAGTGTGAAGTCCAAACTATATAAACACTCTTTTCTCATATTATGTGTCCTTTATTATCTTTATTCAGTGCTCAGCTAAAATAAATAAATAACTATTTAAATATATATCTTATCATCATAACTCATTTGAACACTTGAGATAATCTTAAATCAGCAGGCCTATAGCATATAGAACCACATTGTCATTATAATCAATGGCATTTAACAGTCTTTGTCAAACCACATAGTATGTGTAACAATGTTTGTATTGCAATATCACTTAACATTATAAAGCAAAAAGCAATAAAAGCTATCTATCTTCTCTATGTAAATGATTGGGATGCTTTTATCAGCTGTTTAGACTCTCAATCTGACGGCACCCATTCATTGCAGAGAATCCATTGGTGAGCAAGTGATGTAATGCAAATTGTTTTCTGTTCCGATGAAGAAAGAATCTCATCTCATCTATCTTGGATGACCTAAGGTTGAGTACGTTGTCTTTTGCCCCACCTCTCTCAAACGCTTAGTTTTCTTCCGACAAGCGCAGTCTGCTCTGATTGGCCAACTGACCCAGTGCATTGTGATTGGCCGAACACCGCAAGCACTCGTCTGAAATGTAACGCCCCTTACCATAATCGCAAGCTTCATCTTTCAAAATAAATGTAAAGACAGAGCCCGAAAGGGAACAGAGTCGCGTGACAGACACAGTGATGAAGCTGGTATGTGTGCAGTACACAAGCCACGGTTAAGACAGCTGACTCCACTGTGATGTGACCCCCTTTCTCTCTCTTTCTCTCTCTCTCGCGCGCGCGCTCTCTCTCACTCACACACACACACACACACATACATGATGCGCAAAACTCCGCATTTGAACAGTCAATAGCAAATATTAAACTATTAACAAAACAGTAGCTGATTCAGAAGTGCCAGATTGTCATAGCAAAGTCAGAATTACCTCCTCTCCTAGGTTCACGAAACGGTCGTCCATAAAATGCATTGCTGTTCTGTTGTATCTCTCTCTCTCTCTCTCTCTCTCTCTCGCGCGCGCGCTCTCTCTCACTCACACACACACACACACACATACATGACGCGCAAAACTCCGCATTTGAACAGTCAATAGCAAATATTAAACTAATTGCGGTTACTGAAACCACGCCTTCTTTCTTTGCGTGCACATTTGGGCGGCATTATGCAAATATTTCCACATAGTGAGGTAGATATGTGGGGGCGTGTTAGAACGAGCCGTTTTAGGGGGGCGTGGCAGAGTCTTAACTTTGATAAAGAATATCTCTTTGGTTTTGAGACTTTAGTCTTTGCAACTTCAGAGATCTTATCTATGCACAATCAGCTTGTAACACTCCAAAGAGAAAGGAAAACTTGAAATCGCATCATATGACCCCTTTAATAAATGAAACCCTCTTGTAAAGTGCTACCCAGACAGTATCTTATAAATTGACTCATACAGCTGTTTTATTATTTGTTGATATGCATGCAGCAAGCACAAGAACCCAGAATGCCTTTTCTATGCTGTTCACATCTGACAAGATTGTGGGCTGCAGAGGTGAAGTGTGATGTATAAGTAAAGAGACAGATGGATGATTCAACACCCTGCTTGCTTAATTTAGAGTCAGCGTGTAGGATACACTGAAAACAGGGGTTTAAGGGAGATTAACGGGTCTAATTTAGCACAAGGGAACAAAGTGGTGCATGTGTTTGTCATACACCCTTGATTCCTGATTTAGCTGTAGAGAGGGTCTGGAAGTGTACGATGCTTGATGACCCTTAAGTTTTTATTGGAACCCAGTGTGTAGGATGATGCAGTTCTGGAGAAAAGTGCACTCTGGACTCAAAATATAAAGAAGTAAGATTACAAAACAGACTTTTGTCCTGTGAATCCATGTTATATTGACTTTAATAAATGTGTACATTGACAGATACTATTATGTGTCAGATTGTACTACAGCTCAACACTTTAAAACATTCTGTCTATCATTGTGTGTCTGTTCTGTCCATATAAAGGGCAAAGTCTGTGTGTGACTTGGTAATGACCTTTGCCCACTGCATGTGTTCATCTCATCTCAGTATCCAATGCAAAAAATGTAACAGTGATTTAGCATACAGTGCAACAGGATGTTAGTTTTATCAAATGACCATTAGCTTTTATGTTAGATTTTAAAGGGGCCATATCATGAGGAATCAAATTATCCCTTAGCCTTTTCAGAAAAAGCTTGATGCATTAGAAATACATTGTGACTTTTAGAACTCAAAGCATATTAAGTTATTCTTTTATGTTTTACGATATCCATAACATACACTTCAGTTTGATCTTAGAGGTTTGTGTGGCACACTTTGATTTAAAGTTAATTTCACATGCAAATAATTTTCTTAAAGGCACACTAACAAAATATATCCAGTTAATTCTAAGAATTAGAATTTTTTTGGCTTTTTTTCAATAGCTGTTTCAATAGTGACTGTTTTGGCACAAAAAATTATAATATCACAGGCACACCTCCAGTAACTTTTTAAAAAATTATTATTATTATTATAATATGACCACCTTAAAACTAAGAAATCTATAGAAATAACGATGGATCAGAATAACAACACATTACAATATACAATCAAAAACATATGAATTACAATCGTAATATCACAATTTTATGTGATAAAGTTTGAAATGATTATGAAGTTTAAAAAAAACAAATCCCTATTTTACACAGAAAGAGCATATTTGTTTGATCTATATAACATGACTGATGTGTGCAAAATGCAGATTCATTGCTTTTACAGTAACAAAGCAAAACTTTATCACCACTCCACTCGTCAGAATAAGTGGCAATTCAAGGCTGTGGCACTTCCACTCCTTTCTGCTTGAGCTGTTGGTTGTACCTACACAGACAAATACAAAGTGCGTCACTCCTTTTAAATGCATAATTGTTTAGCCAAAGCACTGCAGGTGCTGAAGGAACATAGGTTGCTGAAAATATATACATCATTGTAAACTCAACAAAGAACAAAATGCTCCACTCTGCTGCCTCCCACTCTTTAACTGTTATGCTAAACTCTCCATTACCTCCAATTCACATTCCACTGGACTTAATAGATGTGGATATACTGTATAAGAGCCACTTTTCCTTTCCCATAAAACTCATGTAACATGAGTTACAGGGCACCTTCACAACCTCCACCAACTGCATTTATGCTCGGGCCATAATAAAAGTATCTCACTCATTTGTTGAAGCCATAACTGATCTCTCATCTTTTTATGTACCTAAACAAATTATGTTTCAAATACTAATTGATATTATACAATGATTTACCTTAAATAACTATGCCAGGCATAAGCAACTCTGGCACTCAAAGTCCACTGTCCTGCACAGTTTAGCTCCATTTCTATTCAAACACTACTGAAAATCAAACCAAAGTCTTCAGGATTTACATTAAAATTACAGGCAGTTGTGTTTGATTAGGGATGGAGTGAAAAGCTGCAGGACAGTGGACCTCAAGGGCCAGAGTTCTCATCTCTGGACAATGCTGTAATATCTTAGGTTTTTGTAATATGTGAATATGTGTAATATGTGAATGCAGAATTTAAAAATTGAAGGAATCCGTGATCAATTTATAAATTTAAAAATACAATCACTTTACAAATAGACTTGAATTTAAGTAATGAAATATATATTTAATGCAACTTGCAGCTGCAAAATGTATAATTCATAACATGGAATCAACAAATAAACAATGACTGAACTGAACCACACCCTTATGATAAACTCCCAGCAAAAGTAAACGTTGGTAGTAAATATGTTGTAGGCCTAAGGCAAGTGTAATAAAAGTTTATTTATTTTTTTTGTAGAGTGAAAACAATACATAACAAGAAGTCATTTGAGGTTTAACTAAAAAAAAACTGTCAGTGTTGGTGAATAATTTATTAAAATAACTTTAGTAGTTTATTTTTAAAAATCTAATTAAAAACATTTAGTAATTCAACTACATTTTTTCATTTTGCAGTAGCCTGATAGTAAAAATGCCATAGCTTTTGATGTTGCTGCCCCAAATGAGATCATTCTTGATTATCTGTCAGTTAAATACTTCTAATTCCAAAATAAATAATCTAGTTTATTTTTTAAGTTTTTATGTATTTAAGAATATATTGCCTGCTTTAACAGCTTAATCCCAGTTTTTGTTAGTACCTTGTTGAACTCTAAACCATTGAACTCAAAGCCATTGCAACGTAATCCTACACCACTAAGCTTGTCACCTCTGTGTATCGACTGATGGTAGTAAACAAAGCTGACCTTAGAACAGTAATGACTAACCTCCATATTCTTATGAGCTGAATGCTTCCACACATGCCTAGAAAGAAGTTAACAGCAAACAGAGCCCAGTTTTTGGGGATGATCACCAAGCAGTACCTTGACCAAATTATTCCTAGAAAGAAACAAGAGAAAGTCGCAATTAACCAATACAGTGTTGGAATTAATAGAATCAACAATTTTTTTGAGTAAAGTGGGTTAAGGCCTTAGTCTTAGTAAACTGACCCTTCGCAAAGACCCACCCCCCTTAATTACTGTTGCTACGTCCAACAAGCCATGCCGCTCTCACTCCACACATCATGTTCTCACGCAGTGAAAAATACATTGTGGAGCAAAGAGGACATTGACAACACTCCGACAGACAAGAGTCCAATGAGATATTCTCATCTACAGGACACTGACAACAGCTACTGATGTAGATAAATCTTGACTAAACTACATCAGGCATCTCTTTGTTGCTCCATCTTGAATAAGTACCTGTGGCTGTAATGACGCAGGACTGAGAGACACTGAGCTTTTCTGGTGGCCGGGTCATATCAGAGAATCCAGCCACTACTAAACCCTGCAGGAGGAAAGAAAGAGCAAAACAAGAGTCAGCTTGCTCAAAGGCCTTGATCAGCAGGTAAATCCATGATATGATTGCATTCACCACAGCATTACAACATCAAATTGCAAGATACAGTATGTATTGCCAGTTTGCATAATGCTATGTTGGTTTTGCTTAAAGGGATAGTTCATCCAAAATCATCATTGCCGTCATGACTTTTCAATCCTGTATGAGTTTGTCTTCAACAGAACACAAAAGGAAAAGCTTAGCAGAATGTTTGAGTTGCACTCTTCCATATAATGAAAGTATATGGAAACCAGGGTCTGTCAAGCTAAAAAAAGGCACCATAAAAGTAGTCCGTGTGACTTCCACAACATATTCCAAATCATCTGAACCAATATGATTATTTTGTGAAATTTAAGTTGTTCATCACTAAAAGCCTTGAAATTCCAACTCGCCAGGTATGGTCACCATTTTGGTATAGAACACTCAGCAACATTTCTGCTACTTCAATCTCCTTTTATGTTCCACAGAAGAAAGAATGGGTGGTTAAATGCATGGGTGTGAGTAAATGATGAGCAATTCCTAACTATAACTAGTAATTTTCATAGCATTCTCTATAATCAAGTAAAACACAAACATCCAAGGCCAAGACGTTCTACAATCTAGCCTCAGAACTGCTACTATGTCAAATCAGAAAACAGTAAAATGTGATGATGAGTGCTGTATTTTAATATTTGACCATTTAAACTGTAAGAAAACAAACAAGACCTCACCCATTTAAAAACTGGTGCCCAGAAGAAAACCGTCTTTGGTCCTGGAAAAAAAAAATACTAATAATTAAAGTGCTACTGTGTAGAACATTCGGTGGTGGTGTTTTTAATTTGATGCTCCGAATTCCTTAAAGGGGTCATATGATGTTGCTAAAAAGAACATTATTTTGTGTATTTGGTGTAATGAAATGTTTATGCGGTTTAGGGTTCAAAAAACACTATTTTCCACATACTGTACATTATTGTTTTTCCTCTATGCCCCGCCTTTCTGAAACGCGTCGATTTTTACAAAACTCATCGGTCTGAAACGCGAGGTGTGCTCTGATTGGCCAGCTATCCAGTGCTTTGTGATTGGCCGAATACCTCAAGCGTGTGACGGAAATGTTACGCCCCTTACCATATTGTGATGCCTTGTCCCGGCCGGGGCGACGAGACAAAAACATTAAAACCCATTACAAACGAGGCATTTGTGGCATCCAGTGGGGACATAATTACGGATTATAATGACTTATACTGTCTTTTTACGCGTTGCATTGCATCGCGCAGCGTAAACATAAAACCATGTCTGCATTTATGATCGGAGGAATGACAAACAACAAGTCCTACTCTACACTGCTCAAAACTTGCGTTTGAATCATCAGTGACAAATTCTTTAAATATAAAAACCTACTTACAGTCTGTGAGTCAGAACAGCCGGCACTGTAGTCTACTCTACCAGGTTCAGGAAACAGCTTTATGGAAGAAAAAAAGCTTGGAAACAGATATGATAGACCTTCAAATGTCATGCAGTATATGATAAGAAATAATCTTTAAGTGAGGTGGTAGGAGGTGTTGGAGTAGGCTAAGCAATGTCCAACATGTTTACACTGTAAATAAAAATTTGGCTTCAACAGCACATACTGTAGCACCAATGTTTCCATCTAGATCTTTGGAACAAACCAAAGTGGAAAACCAGGTCTAGGTATTGATATGCTTGTGGTTAGCTGTTGTTTTTGTTTGGGTGTAGGCTAATACATTGGTATTTTCTGTTTCATTCCTTGAGAGAATAACCCCTTTAATATCAGTAAATAAACTGTAACAGTAACTTATGTATTTTTTTTAACACTTATGTAATTTCTTTAACTGTGGGGAAAACAAAGCAAAAGTTGAATGGTAATCATTTCCTGAATCTTGATTGTAACCATAGGCTATATCGTTATTTTAACCCTTAAAATAAATAAAAATTAAGAAGGAAGTTCAAACTGGTATCTGGGACGTTTTACAAAGATTTAACAGAACAATTAGAATTCTCCAAAATTCAAAAATGAGCAGAGGCTAAATACCTGCAACCATGAAAGTCACAAAGCTTATCTCTCAGGTTTTGAGTCAATTTAGGGCAGGCTGTCACATATGTTTTAAATGCCTCATTTAATACAGTGGTTTGATATAATATAAATTAAATGTTAAGTTAAATGAGCTTTTTTCCAGGGCAATAACAGTGAAAATGTCAATTTTTTTGTCAAGTTATGTGTCAATAAAGACATTTCCTTTCAAAAGTAAACCTACCCTGAGAAATTTTCACTTGACTAAGAGTGACAACTAGCTCAATTCTCCTCTAATTGGTCAGAAAAGTATACAGTATATGTTCTCTATAAAAAACTGTAAAAAACAAGCAAGCTCATTTAAGATAATGCAGATATGCCCAAACTTGTAAAGGATGTTGTGAATCAGAAGTTACTCAGAAATTTGTCAATTAATAATACTAATTGCATCGTAATGCAGGACCAAACAATGTGCTCAAGATGCAACTGAAACTTAAATTCAGTTTCCAGTTCCAGAAAAATGAAAGGATTACCTGCAGCAAATTATCCATTTTATTTTTTAAATAATATTTCAGTAAGCAAATACTATGTATTTAGTAATGCCTTAATAAAGAATCAAATAACAAGATGTTCTTTTATAGTGCCATATAGTTTTGTGTGTGTAGTATTAAAATATTGTAATTAAATCATTATGTTGCTGATATTTTTTCAGGTATTTCAGAAATAACAGCATCAGTGAATCCTGCGCTCAGTTCTGATCCAGATGTTGTAGTCTCATGTTCAGCCACTGGTAAACCAACTCCAACTATCCACTGGAAATCTGCAGAGAAAGAGCTGAACAACTTTAGGTTAAGTAATTCCACAACACTCAACAAAGACAGCTCAACCACCATTACAAGCAACCTCACGCTTCCGCTGTCACAGTTTCATGGGAAGTACGTGGAATGTGTGGCTCAGAGTGACACCATGGAGAACAGCGTCCAAATCTATGTGCCTGAAGTAGAATATAAAGGTATCTTGATTTGACTTCTGAAACATAAGTGTTTGGGGTGGTAGTGGCATAGTGGATTAAAAATGATATGGACTAACAATCAAATAATCAAGCAGAAGCAATATTGTAATTTCAGAATTAGCAGTGGCGGCTCATGGGTTTTAAAATAGAGGAGGCACACTAATTGTATTGGTCTGGGATCCCTGCCGATTATTATTTTTATTATTATTATTTGCTTAACCACTTTAAAATGGCTTTTTGGTTGCTTTTAGTCAGAAAACGCAAAGAAAACGACACACATACAGCAAGATAATATCACTTGAAGCAAACATCCCTTCTTAAAAGTCTATGTTAAAAGAGAGCTGCCTGTTGTGCCATTTAATTAAGCTGACTGCTGTAGCCTAAATCCAGCTTATAGGCGTGTTTTCCCTTTTTTTAAATTCGTATATATACTGTTTGAATGACAGCTTGGTAAATCTGTAAGTAGGCTACTTGGTACATTATCAGCGCAGCGGGAGACGTTCAGACTAATATCACGTAATTTACTTCTCTATGATGATTGGTTGATATCAGAAGGGAGGCTAGCCTCCTCTACGAGGTTTCTTTTCTCAACACTCCTCAACGCTGAAAGTGAACACTCGATGCTGATTGGCAAATTTTTTTTTACAATGGAGAGCTCAGTTCTCCCCCAGCCTCCCCCTACTCTTCTCTATCATTTAGCGGTTGTAATTACATCAGCAGCTTCAGCACATTTGCGATAGAAAAGCGGCGCTTTCACGTTATTATATTACAACTGTAATATAATAAAAAAAAAAAAATACACATTCTGAGACATGAACTAAAATGAATTGTGAATTTTATTAACATTAAATCGTCCTCCCATTTTGACCTCAAAATTATGGGGAAGCTGTGCCCCCCCCGAAGAGCCGCCACTGGAATTAGGCTAAAAAAAGATGCATGTGCATATTCTTAAATGAAATCATTTTAATCAATATTTTCATACCAAACAACCTTTTTGTTTCACAGAGAACAAAGTCACATTAAGAAATTATATCATTCCAATGCTGGTTGTGGTTATCATGAGTATTGCCATTATTGCTACCTACCTTCACACAAAGTTAAATGGTAAGCTGAAAAATATTACACTCTAGTAATCAGGACCATACTGTCATATAAAGAACAGCATTATTTTGTATATTCATTATATATATATATATCAAATTCCACTTTTACATGGTGTTTGAACATAAATGTGTGTTGGCAGTATGTGACACGCAACCATCCTACAATGATAAAAAAACCACCGACTCATTTTTTAATCCTCATTAAACCAAATCAGGCTCATTAGACATGCCGTTTTGATTCTCTTGAGAAGTGTGACGTCACATTGCTCAGACCCCGCCCACGGCTGCTGACTCACTGCCATATTAGCAGCCAGAGAC